CACTCACCAGGCCCCACCAGGTAGTTTCCAGCTGGTCCATTGGATCGGGGTGCTTATGTTCTCCTTCTCATCTTGAGTCTGTGGACAGCTGGGGACATAGTCCTGGGGTCAGGTCCTAGGGACTCAGGAGTTCCATGAGGATCCTTAACCAGTGCCATTTCAGTTTGATGACTCCAGAATTGCCTTCTAACCACAGAGATGCCTCTTCTCCGTTGGGGCAACTATTTGCATCTGAGAGTCACAATCAGAGAAGTCAGAGTCTTCATTCTGGGGTCATATTCATGGGGGCTGGCAAGAGTTGTTTGCCTTCAAAAGGGGCCTGTGACTAGCACAGGACCTTGGCTGTGCCCCACCAAGCTCTCGGGCTGGACAAAGAACACTAGAGAGGGAACCAAAGACCTCACTCAAACCAGGTGTGGTGTGGCAGCTCTTTGAGCCTCAGTTTCCTTGTCTCCCAAATGATGAACCTGTCTGCTCCAGCTCACTCCTCAAGGAGGGTGAAGCTCTCCTGGGACAGGAAGGAGTGGGTGAAGAGCAGAGGCTGAGTTTGGGGGAACAGAGCTAGGATGAAGGAGCAAAGGCTGAGTTGCTTAGAGATAGGAGGGACTGGAAAGCAGGTGACTGGATGGGGCTGGGAATTCAAGGAGAGGGACCAGCAGAAGCCATGGTGTGGGGCTGAGAGCAAGAGGGTGGCTCTGCACCAGGGGGACCTTGGTCAGGACTTCTGGGAATTCCAGGCAGGACCAGGGGACAATAATGAGCTGGGTCTTTGGGAATGGGATTTGAGAGACCAGCTGTCAGAAAGCCCTGGCTGTGTCTGGGAGGGATGTGGGGGATGGAATGGTTTGTCACAAGGAAGGGAGAAGAAGGGTGGACGGGAGGAGGGGAGGGTGGGAGGTGGGGGTTGGCAATGCAGGGAAACACAGAGGAATGGCTTTCTGTGCCCACTGCCCACTCTGTGCAATGGCCAGACTCACTAGAGCCAACTGCAGACGGAACTGAGGGAGACCCAGGTGGGATGGAGGGCTGGATATCATCCAGCACAGGAATGTCAGGGAGAAAGGAGAGCTAAGGCTCAGAGGACATCCATGTCCAAGGCATCTTTGATCTTCCAAGCAGCCCCTGAAGCCCCTTCCCAGCACCACTCCTAATTCACATCTGAAGGGACTGAGGTTCCAGGAGGCTCCTTGCTTGGACAGGTCACCTAGCTGGTCCCTGCCTGAACCAGGAAGTCAGAGCCTTGAGTGTCTGCTTGTTCTGCTACCCCAGGTAGCTCTCTTTGTGGGTCCTGGGACCCCTTTGACCTACTCCCTGGAAGTTAGCTCAAGGGATGGAAACTAGTATATAAATTTGAATATTTGTATGCAAATGAGTTTGTGTGTGCAGATATGTGTGGCATGTGCCTACACCTGTGTTTGATCACACTAGGATATGCGTGTGCACATTTATGCACACGTTTGTGCACATGCTTTGGTTTCCCTCAATCCCCTGCACTCACCACCCTGTGTGTACCGGTGGGCTTAATGTCCTGGAGCAGTCCTTAGCCTGAGACTGGACCGTTCTATGCTGATGTACTGGAGGTACATCATTTCTGCTGCCTTCCCTCCGCACCCCCACCCTCCCTTCCCTACTCCCAACAGCCTCTCTGAATGAGACACCTGCATTTAGCCTTGTCAGGACCTGCTTGTGGGGTTGCCCAGCCTAGGACAGGGGTGACTCTGAATGACCATTTGTGCTGGGTCATGGTAAGTGTGTCGTGTATACATAGCATGTGTTTATATGGATGCCTGTGCCTGGCACACGTGTGTATGCTCGTGCATGCATGTGTATATACACGTGTGTAAATCTGAGAGTGGCTGTGGTTGACTTTGAACACCTGACTTGAGGGAGCTGCCTCAAGACTGCTCATGTACAGGAGTGTAGCATTGGGGACTGTGGCTGGGTGGGGTGAGTGGTGGAGAGATAAAAGGGGAGACAGGAGGACTCTGATTATTTCAACCTTGAAAACTCATTTCAATTACAATTTACAACCTGCACACAAAGGCTGCAGTCATGAGGTAACCACCGCTCTGGGGTTTGATGGAGAAAACCCTCCCGATGGTTCCTGGGCTGCTTGTCACCCATGGCTGAGCCAAATGCATCTCTGCCTCATGCTGCCCCGGGACACAATTAGGACATCTTCAAACTGTTGCTGCTGTCACTGCCTCCATGTGTCTGGAATTTATCTCTGCCAGTAGCTCTCAGTCATGCGTGTCTTGCTTACTCCCACCCACCCATAAGGGGGAATACTATGATCCCTTCCCTCCTCCTGTAGACTTGTGGACAGTGGCCCTTAGCCCTGAGTTAGGCCTTGGCCAGAGAGTTTGGGGCAGGGCCTGCACCCCAGGAGGGGCAGTTCAGGGTGTAGACTCTTAGGAGCAAAAGCTTGGGTTCAGCTCTCTGAACCCTCTAGGGAGGGTACTTTGGCCTGTCCTTGTTATTTTCTGTGGGGTACAGGAATCTAAGTGTGTTTGTGTCATGTGTGGTATATGTGTGTGTGTAGGGCACACTAGCCCTTTGTAACGCACCTCACTACACCCCAGCCGACTCATCTGTAGCTAGTCCAGATCTGAGACACAGTGAAGGTGGGAGGCACTTTGAGGAATCTCCAGGAGTCTATGGCCAGCCCTGTAGCAGCTCTGACTGGATATCAAGTGGGTTGGATACAAGGCCACTGAGAGCCTGCAGTCCCCCTGAGACCCTTGTGGAGGTGGGCTTCCCTGGCAAGGATGCTCCTGTGGAATATCCACACTCCAGCATCCACCCGCTGGTTTTGTGACCCCAGTGAGAGCAAATGGCATGGTCCAGGAATGGATTCTTCACCAGGACCCTGTGAAGGGAGGAACCCTGGGAAGCCAGGGAGAGGAGAGACCAAGCCAGCTTAGAGGTCAGGTTGTGTCTTACCGGAGGGGCAATGGCCCCTGACCCTGAGGTGCCCTTGGCCTTGGAAGAGAGCTGCCTCCTGTGCAGTGACCACAGTGCCCCCTCCATTGCTGCTTAATAATTCACCTCTCATCCAGATGAGAGAGTTGTGGGGAGAATTGTGAAGGAATGGAGTGCTGGGCCTGGGCTGGGGTACCAAGGGGGCCTGGGGCTGGGATATTGAGCTGGACCCTGGCTCTAAGAGGGATTTTCAAACAGCCCTGCCCCAGCCTCCTCTGTTGTCTGTTGGGGACAGGAATTGTCCCTTCACTTTCCTGGCTCTCAGAACCTGTCACCCCAGGCCATGAGCAAGATGGCAGGATGGGGCAGCTGGAGAATTTGCATTTCAAGTTCTTCCCTGGATGTTCGTGCTTTAATCTAGAAATAATGTTGCCTATTAGCAAAGCTAACAGCCAAGGCTCCGGGTCAAGTGCAGTCTAGGAGGACGCAGGCTGGGTTGGAGGCTGGGGTGCTTATCCTGTCACGAAGAGGCCCAGCCTGGCTCTGTTAAGTGGAGCTTCCCTCTCCAGGCCTCTGTTTTCTCATCTGTGAAATCTCATCAATTGGAACAGATGACCCTGGTGGCTCTGCCACCCCAATCATGGTGGTTGTGATCTCTAATGTCCTTTTGGCAATCTACATCTACCCTGAGCTAGATTAAGAATGGCTTCCTGACCAGGAGGGCCAAATGAGTGACCAGGCAAGAGGGATGATGGATGCTGTGACATCCAAGGCAGGAGGGAGGGACACAGTGACCTCTGGAATTCCCAGGAAATGGGGGTCAAGTGCTGACCTAGCCTCACCTGGCCCCCATTTGGGGAGCTCAGGCTCCTACGCACAGGGTTGGGCACCAGTGTGCCTTCCCCCTAGCCACCTTCTGGGCATTAGCTCCACAGGGTGTCTTGCGTCTTCCAACAGAAAGATACAGGCTGGGAGGGGGCTGTAAGGGTCAGTGTCCTCGTTCTGTCCTTGAGAAGGGGGCTGTGGTCAAGCTGTGTGTAGGGCTATAGCCTTGGGAGGGACACTGGGCTTCCCTGGGCTCTGCCCATCTTCTCCTTTCTGCCACCCTCACCTGGACCCAGTCTTTCCTCCCCACTTTCCTGTCCCCCCACAGTCCAGTGTCATACACAGGCTTGGAGCTGGAATACCTGTGTTCAGATCCTGCTCTGCTGATCCTGTAACACTTCTCAGCTTTTCCATGCCTCAGTTTCTCCAGTTCTATACTGGGGCTAATTACTTCATAGCATTGCTGTGAGAATTCAAAGAGTTGATATCCATAGAGAGCTTAGCACAATGTCCAATACACAGCAAGTGCTCAATAGATGTTCAAAGCTATAAGTTATTTTTTATCACTATCATGCAGGGCCCAGCCTGGGAGCCACTTTCTTGAGAGACTTTCTGGCTTTTCCAGCTCAGAGACCTTTGCTGCCACCTTAGATACCCCTCCTCTGGCCACTCACACACAGAATGACCATGAGGTGGTCACCTGCTCTGTTCCACGAGCAACTTGCCTCACTGAAACCTCCCTCCTCTTTGAGGCAGGGTTAGAACTTCTGTCTCCTGACAAGGACACTGATGAACTAACTCTGGGCCACAGAGCAGAGAGGTTGAGTGGGCACTGAAGGGAGGGACACAGACTGGAGGTCAAACCTCCAAGTTCCTGGTAGCTATTGCAGTCAGCAGTGAGAGGGCAGTGGGGGTGGGTACCCCATTTGGCCAAGCTCACTCACCCCTGGCTGCTGGGTCAGTTATTACTAGGGGGAGGAATGGGTAGGGATGATGATGACTTCTGGTGTCAGGTGACTGGAAGCCATTGAGGGCATCAGGAGGCCAGCCTCTCTGGGCCTGTTTCCCTACCTGTACTCTACGGTGAGGGCAGTGTTTTTTGGTCACAGTGCTGCCTGTGGTGAGGGGTTACCACTACTCTTGATAACAGTGTACCCAGTTCTGGCTGCCACCTCTCCAGCTCCAGTGGTGGCTCTGGATCCTGCTATGAAAACGGCAGCCTCACAGGCACCCCACCTGGTGTTACCTTGCAGACCGTGAGCGCATCGGGCAGGACTCAGCATACGAGCAGGAGGGGAAGGTGCAGTTTGTGATTGACGCTGTTTATGCCATGGGTCATGCTCTGCATGCCATGCACCGTGATCTGTGTCCCGGCCGCGTGGGGCTCTGCCCTCGCATGGACCCCGTGGATGGCACCCAGCTGCTTAAGTACATCCGAAACGTCAACTTCTCAGGTGGGGGCATGGTGTGGGGCACGGTCACCCTGGGTGTCCTGGGCCATGCAGTCAGGGGACTGAGGCCTGAAGCTCCATGGGGTGGGAATGGGGGTCTCTTCAGATGCTTCCGAGGGGTGACATCCCCAAAATGTTCCATGGAGGGGCCTCCTTAGAGATGCCTCTGCCCTGAGTCCACAATCCTTGCCTGTGGATACAAGCTCAGCAAAGACCCTCTTCCCCCAGGCATTGCAGGGAACCCTGTGACCTTCAATGAAAACGGAGATGCTCCTGGGCGCTATGACATCTACCAGTACCAGCTCCGCAATGGCTCTGCCGAGTACAAGGTCATTGGCTCCTGGACAGACCACCTGCATCTCAGAGTAAGCAGGAGGGCAGGGAGGGTCCTCAGGGAGTGGAGAGAGTGCCTCCTGCCATCTCCCCCAAGGGAGGTGGCTGTAGTTCTGCTGCCCATTCCAGCACCTACCCTCATCTGGAGCCTGGGGGCTTCCTGCCTGCTACCCACAGGAGAGAGGGTAAATAGTCAAAGGCTGGGTGGGTGTAGGGAGTGAGATGACGAGGAGAGGGCTGTGTTTGGACAGAGGGCAGAGTCTAGGCAGAGGGCTCAGGCCAGGTGGTGGGTTTCTGGCAGTGGTTGGTGCCTAGGGAGCTCTCTGAGCGTGCATCCCCAATACCCTCAAACCACACTGGAAGGCAGTTATTTTTCTGCATCCTCTTAGTCACACTTTCCAGCTCCCAATGTCCCAAGCATGCAGTGCTTTCCCTCTGGCCCAGAGGTATGTTGTGGAGGAGAAAGCTCTTTAGTTCAGTACCCAGGGAAATATCTGAGGACTTGGTCTCTGCTCTGCAAAGGGGAAGTGGTGAACTGTGCTTGGGGTGGGCACAGCGTGACACCTTGGAAGGCCAGACTTAGGAAACTAGGCTCTAACCCATCCTTAGTCCTCATTTTTCAGGACTGTGGGAGAATTGTGGTGTGCCCTGATCTCTCCTTCTATGATAATCTCTTCCTGTGTGGGGCTCCTCGAGCCCTTCCAAGCACTTCTCCCACCCTGGCAGCCTCCTAAGTCTGGGAAATGGCCCTGGGGAGGCTAAGGGACTCTCCTAAGAGCACACAGTTTGTAGGAACAGAGCCCATTCCTGTAAGGAGGCTCCTTGGATGCTGAGCAGAGAGAGAGAGCAGCATAGGGTAGGCACACTTTGCAAGGTGGGAGGATACCAACCAATGTAGGTGTCTTGTGTGGGCGCAGAGGGCAGTGACTTGAATTCACCGGTAGCAGCAGCGAATGCTTTCGAACTTGCTCTGATGATATGGCCTTCCTGTGAGGATGGCAGCTCTGTGAGGCAGGCACTGTCACTGTCCTCATTGCATGAATGGTGGTAACCGAAGGCAAGAGTGGGTATGTGAGGGTACCCCCTGAAATCCCCTCCCCAGTGATAAATGGCTCCTCCCACTCAGCCAACTGGCCCCATGACCCAGCCTGTGTAAGCAGGTGTCAGTGCATCCCCACACTTGATTACCCCTTGCCTGTAGGTGTAGGTGGCGGGAGAAGGTGGGGTGGAGCTGGCCACTCTCACTTTTCTCATTGGGTGGCTGGGTTTGGGCTGCACTGCAGGAACCAAGCAGCCAGGCTCTGGGAGCTGAGGGAAAGGTCTCTGGTCACTGTCTTCCTGTGGGGTCTGAGAGTGAAGTGCTCTCGTCATAGGTGCCCGCGCCTCATTGCTTGGCCATGGTTATCTCCCTCGAGTGCACCACAGTTCCCTGGGCTTCTGCTAGGTGCCAGCCCTGTGCTGGGGGGCTATAGACTCAGCAGGCCAGTAATGCAAAGTCCCTGCCCTCCGAGAACTGTCATTGTAATATAAAAACAGTATCCGTGATGATTCCTATGGGAATCGCCCATAGTAACAAGGGGCAAGGTGGCTTCATAGCTGCTGTTGTTGGTTCTGATGGGAAAACAGAGGCCTGAGAGGTTGGCGTGTTTGCTCAAGGGCACAGCACCCTAGCAGCAGATCCTAGCAAGATCCTAGGACTTGATCACCTTCACTCCCCTTTCCGTGGGGTCCAGGTTTCCAGAACATCTACCATCCTTCTGTGTCCTCTGGGGAAAGGCCTGCCCCCCTGCTGTGAGGCTGTCTTTGGATCGCTGTCCACCCTATCCTACCCCTTTCCTTGCCTCTGAAGCCATCCCAACAGCCCCGCCAACAGGACACATTCCTCCAGGAGTGAAAGCCCAGCTCGTGTGTGTGCCTGTCTAGCCAGGCTTCTAGCTAAGAATGGACTCTACCCACAGGCCACTTTATTTACAGCAGGTACATGCAATGAGGCTCCCAAGTGTAGTGAGGCTCCCTTTGCCCAGTGCCTGCAGCAATTCTGGGCCACACACTTACTTTCCACAGTATCATAACACATTCAGAAGGGCATGACAACACTCCTGTGGCTCCTTTGCTCTCTTCAGAGACTGTGAGTAGCACTAATTTAGAGCAAGATGTAAAGAAATGCTAACCCCTGGACACACATTAAGTGTCCTCTAATTACATCTTTGTTTGTTGTTCTCTGCTGTACATGACTCCCTGTACCACTCCATGGGCTGAGCATCTCCCACTCCACTGAGCACTGGGCTTGTTGAAACAGATTCCAAGTCAGGAAGCCTGGGTGGGGCTGTAACGTACATCTCCAGCAAGCTTCTGGTGGTACAGATGCTGCTGGACCACCGTGAGTTGCAAGGCCTCAGGGTGGGGAGGGAGTCAGTACTCCTGTGTTGTCTCTGCTCTGTTCTTCCTGTGTTGTGTGATTCTGGGTCAGCACTGTTGCTCTCTGGGTTTGGTTTCTGCAGATAAGTCTGGAGAGTTTTGAATTCACTCAGGATTCTCCCTCGGTCAGTAATGTCAGGGTCACACAGGGGAGCTTGTCTCAATCTAGCTGTCAGAGTCGGTACATTCTGGTGGGTCCAGGCAGCTGCACTTTTGGCTAACTTATCAGCTGATTCAGGTGTAAAGCCAAAGGGATGGTCTAGGCACTGGGCGGTAAGTCCTGAGGCCTGCTCTATGGTGCTGTCATTGCCAGATAGAGCGGATGCACTGGCCAGGGAGTGGGCAGCAGCTGCCCCGCTCCATTTGCAGCCTGCCCTGCCAGCCAGGTGAGCGGAAGAAGACAGTGAAGGGCATGCCCTGCTGCTGGCACTGTGAGCCCTGCACAGGGTACCAGTACCAGGTGGACCGCTACACCTGTAAGACCTGCCCCTACGACATGCGGCCCACAGAGAACCGCACGGGCTGCCGGCCCATCCCCATCATCAAGCTGGAGTGGGACTCACCCTGGGCAGTGCTGCCCCTTTTCCTGGCCGTCGTGGGTATTGCCGCCACATTGTTCGTGGTGGTCACCTTCGTGCGCTACAATGACACGCCCATTGTCAAAGCTTCAGGCCGTGAGCTGAGCTACGTGCTGCTGGCAGGTATCTTCCTGTGTTATGCCACCACCTTCCTCATGATCGCTGAGCCGGACCTCGGTACCTGCTCCCTGCGCCGAATCTTCCTGGGGCTCGGCATGAGCATCAGCTATGCAGCCCTGCTCACCAAGACCAACCGCATCTACCGCATCTTTGAGCAGGGCAAGCGATCGGTCAGCGCCCCACGCTTCATCAGCCCCGCCTCGCAGCTGGCCATCACCTTCAGCCTCATCTCCCTGCAGCTGCTGGGCATCTGCGTGTGGTTTGTGGTGGACCCCTCCCACTCAGTGGTGGACTTCCAGGATCAACGGACGCTCGATCCCCGCTTCGCCAGGGGAGTGCTTAAGTGTGACATCTCGGACCTGTCACTCATCTGCCTGCTGGGCTACAGCATGCTGCTTATGGTCACATGCACTGTGTATGCCATCAAGACGCGTGGTGTGCCAGAGACCTTCAATGAGGCCAAGCCTATTGGCTTCACCATGTACACCACCTGCATCGTCTGGCTCGCCTTCATCCCCATCTTCTTTGGCACCTCACAGTCAGCCGACAAGGTGGGTTTTGGGGGCTGGGGTGGGTGGCAGGGGTCAGGGATAAGGGCAAGACCTGGCAGCCTCCTGAGCCTGGCTGTCCCTCACTCTGTTCTGGAGATGCCTCTTTCCTGCCCTGTTCTGCCATCTTTCTTCTGGTTGCAAAGTTTTTTCTCTGGGTTCTGGGTTTTCCTTCTTCTTTCCCTCTTTTTCCTTTCCTAACCCTTTGTCTTCTCTCTCTCTCTCTCTCTCTCTCTCTCTCTCTCTCTCTCTCTCTCTCTCCCCTCTTCACTCACATTTCCTTTGTCTCCTTCCCTTTTCTTTCTCCTTCCCTCCCCTCTTCCCTTTTCCCTCTCTCTATCCCTGCCTACCCCTCCCATCTCCTTCCTTTCCCTCCTCCCTCTCTTTTCTCCCCTTCCTGTCAGCCATGGATGCTGCACCTCTTTCATTCTTCATTCTTTCTAGACTCTCCTATTTCTTCCTTCTAATCAGCCTGTCTTCCTTTGGGTCCACTCCTCTGCTCTCCCTTCTTCATCCACTGTTCCCAAGATCCTCCTGGGCCCCTGAAGTATGAAACATATCTGGAACTTGCTCCCTTTCTCCCCAGCCCCAAGCTGTCTTGGGTCTGGCAGTGCAAGCTAGGGCCTTTCCTTCCTGGGCTGGAGCTGCCTCTGCATCCTGTTGACCTGGCCTTGGGGTCTGCACAAGCAAGGGTCCTGAGGACTCTGTTCACTTCCCAGCCTGGATACTGCCTGGGTGGCTGGGATCGGGGGTTATGTTGAAGACTGGGAGTCACTGAAGTCAGGCCTCATGGTAGACCATGGTCAGTTCCATGGGACCTGGGAGGCCAGCTGTCCTCTCCAGCCTCAGTTTCTTCATCAGTAAGTTGGGGCCATATTCTTTTCCCTGTGATAATCATGTGACACAGTGGTATAGATAGTTTATACACTCTGAGGAGGTAGAAGCTGGAGAAGCAGAGGAGGGTGGTGGGGATGAGGTCAGAGATGTGACAGGGTGGATGGCATGAGAGAGTGAGCCTGTGGGGAGGATGCGGCTCTTGCCTTGAGTGAGAAGAGAGTCCTCAGGTTCTCAGCAGGGAGGTTTTAAAAGGAACCAGAAGCAGGGCAACTGTGAGGATGGACTGTTGTGATCTAGATGGGAGGTACTGGTAGCAGAAGTGATGAGAAGGAGTCAGGGGTGACCAGGCTTATATGTGGGGAGTCACAAGAGCATCAAGGCTGCCTCAGGGTTTTGGCCTGAACAATTTCAAGGTGTTTCCACATTAAGGAGGGGGACAGGAGGTGGGGCTTTTGCACTTGCTGAGTTTGGGATGCCTGTGGATGACTGGGCATCGGTCACTGAGTTCAGGGGCAAGGACCAGTCTGTAGCCATACCTGGGGTGTCAGTAGCCTGTGGTCCTATTTAAAGCTGAGTCCAGGGATGAGTTCCTGGGGACACTTGGTCTTCAGTGAGGCAGTTGCCAAAACTGCTTTGAATCAGGTGCCAGTCCTGTGCAGACACTTTACTTAATGGCCACCGGGCCCTACAGAAGCTGGAGAGGGTAGGTATTACCATCCCCACTAACAGATGAGACACAGGCACAGAGATGGGAAGTGACCTGCTTAAAGTCACACAGCCAGTAGATAGCACAACTGGACTTGACCTTACTGTCTAGCTCAAGGCCCTCCCACCCCCACTTCATGCTATCCTCCCCCACCAGCTCTGGAACACTTCCCCTTCCCCAGGGACTTCCTGATAGGAGCCTACCTTTTCCCAGCCACTCCTCAAGGTCGGGAGCTGTGTCCTTCACTCTGAGCCCCTTGGGGTTGGCCCAGGGAGGCCTGTGGTGTCTTCCAAGAAGCAGACCCGGGGGCTGGCAGCAAGAAGCCTGAGGTCAGAGACCAGGCCTGGCTTCAGCAGGGACACCACCCCACATGCCTGAGCCAAACAGCCTTTTCACCCAGCTCACGCTGTCAGCTAGATAAGTGCCCCACCAGGCTTGCAGGAGCCCTCCTGCTGTGGGCAGGTGCAGGCAGAGGTCCCATGCCCTCTGTGCCCATGGGGCCCATGGCACCTGCAGGGTAAGTGATCTCACACTCCAGGAAGCTGGGAGTTTGAGAAATTATCTCAGCAGCACTAAGAGGCCTCTTTCGCACCTCCTTGGGTGCATGGCGTTAAGCCCCTCTCTCCTCCCTGCACCCTTCCCTAGATGAGTTTCTGTCACCCCAGAGGCTCCTTTCAGCACTGAGGATGGAAGGAGCTGCAGAGATAATGCCTTCAGAATCTCAGAGAGGGATAGAGACTTCCCCAGGCCACACGACAGATTGGCCTCGTCAACCCGTGGTCAGCCGTACCATTTAAGCTCTGCCCTTGATGGTCTGGGATTTGGGACACATCTGGTCTCTCTTTGGGCCTCTGAATGGAGCCGTCATGGAGAGGACAAGCTCTGAAGTCCCTGGAGCTTAGGGTACCAGACTTCTTAGGGGCTCAGGCATTTCCAGGCTGTGCTTGGGCTGGAACTGGCTGGAGCTAGGAAATTCCCCAGAGCAAGCTATGGAAATTCCCTGGAGTGAGCACAGCTGCTAGACTTGAGTGTGCGTGAAGATGGAGTGGGGCTGTTGTCAAGAACTGTGGCATGAGTACAGAAGTGTGTGCCCTTTTTTATACGTGCATACCCAGTAAATGGCTGGGATGCGCAAGTGAGCATGCTCCGTGGACGGGATGGGCCGATGTGTGTGCTAAGGGGTTCATAACTGTCAGCGTGGGTGTGGGTGTGTAGACTGAGGAGTGTGTATGCACACAGGAGTCAAGGAGTGTATACAGGTGGCTGTGCCTGAGTGCATCTGTATACACGCACCCAGTTGCATGAAGGGGAGTCTGAGCCCGATGTGTATGTGCAGCTACATGTTCAGGTGTGTGTGTGTGAGTGTGGGTGTACACATGCATACAGGTGTGCACGCACATGCACTTAGGTGCGTTCGGCTGCACTGTTCCCCGGGGTGCTGGGTGAAGCTGTTTTTGCTGCTCTGGTGAGCAGGCAGATGGATTGCCTAGCATTAGCTTGGATTTCCAGGGCTTAACACTGCAGCTGTGTGGCATCATCACTCTGAGCCGACCTGAGTGGGTTTTCTGTGTGAGGTTACTACTCAACCAGGGCCAGGACATGGCTGTGGAGGCTGGCCAGTGTGGGGAAGTTCATTTGTGAGGTTGTGTAGATTTCAAGGATCTTGGTCCCCACCAGTGGTGGCCTGAACAGAAACAAAGCAGGCTGAGCTCTTCAGCCCCACAACCCTCTTCCACCCTGCAAGTAAACAGGAAACTCACTGTCTACACATACAGCTGCTCCTCCCTGTGCTCTGTCCCCATGCAGCCCAGCTCCAACAGCCTGTTTCAGTCAGGAGCTGGTGTCTGGTTCCACGCAGGATTCCACAAGGAGGTGGGAGGGTGGCCAGGGTCTGGCCTGCCCAGGAGTAGAAGTGGTGGAAGGTCAGGCCCAGTGGGACCCTCTGAGCACAGGCACCATGCAGCTGACTCTACCTGTGTTAAAAGGTGAGCTCGTGTCCTGATGCTGCCTCTCCCTCTGCGGTCTAAGACTCCTCTGGGGTCTCTTAGGGGTACCTGGTGGGCTCTTGAGGACCGTGGCTTCTCCAGAAGGACTCACCTATTACCACCTCCAGGGGACCACATGCACCTGCACATGGAGGCAACAGAAACAATTCTGAAACTAGGGATCAGCTCCAGGGCAGGGTTGGGATTCCAGACCCTGAACAAGGAGAGGAATGGGGAGTGAGCAGTCCCGCTTCTGCTTGCACAGACCCTGCCTCCTCGCCTGGGAGGTGGCTAGTGGGCCCCTGGGGCCATGCTGGGAAGGAGGAGCCACAGCAGATCTGGGGGGAGCTTTGTTCCAGTTTGATCTGTCCCGGGCAATCTCCTGTGTTTTGTCATCAGAGCACCAATGACTGTTCCCAGGGTTGGCGCTATCATTTTCAGCGCCCCTCCTCCCCCATGCAAACATTATTTTGTATTCAAGATGGTGGCAGCAAGGGTATTACACTAAGCACGGGTTCCATGCAGCTGACTCTGCTTGTGTTAATGATGGGGGCCCTGCCACCCAGAAAGGGGAGCAGACTTGCCCAGCATCCCACTGTGCACCATGGCAGACCAAGGCTGTGTCCCCTGCAGGGCTCACACTGCCCAGAGAGTGGCCTCAGTCCCTGGTCCCACCACCTTTGTTGAGGTTCAATTGCATACCACCCCCATCAACAGGGTTGCAACAAAAGGTGTAAGACAGGTATATGGGCCTATACACAACAGCTCCATGTGAAAACAGACCGTCAGTCTAATGAGAGAGACACACCAGGGAGCAGATACATCCTGGAGCACCCAGTCCAACGGTGAAGACCCTGATGACAGGCCATGTGTGTGATGAGACTCAGAACCTGGCATTCCTGCTCTGGTCACTGGCCCTTCAGCCCCCTACCACTGGCTGTCATATCCTTTCCCACCAGGAGAGAAGCTCTGTGCCTGTGGGTGAGAGTGGGTTGTGGGTGAGGACTGATGCTCACCTGTCTGTGTCTGGGGGTACATATGCTTTTTGGGGGCAGACTCATTTCCCTTGTGCCTGTGACATTGTCCTGAATGGAGTAGCCTCTCCGACCCGAGACTGGGGTCTGAAGACCGTGGGCCCCTGGGGTTGGGGCATCAAGGCTGTCTGGCCAGTTCCTGTACCCCTTCTTCTCAGTTTCAGTACAGAGCCTAGAGCCACTAAAAGTAGGTTTCATGTGGCTTTGCAGTCTGAGTCTGGCTGACCTTGTGGTTTGGGGGACAGAGGTGCCATCATTCCGTGTACCAGTAGAAAAAACTGAGACCTAAAGAGAGGAGAACTCTTCTCTGAGGCTTTAGAGCTTCCCCAGCCCCTCACCCAAAGGCTGGGGGTGGCAGGAGGGAATCCCGGCGGGGCGGTGGGAATTGCTGGGCCCTGCCTGGAAGGCCTCACCATTGAAGGATGGATTATTCGACACCCAGATGAATGGGCTTTCATTCTGCTAAACATCTGTCACTGTTAGTGCTGGCGAGTGAGCGTGAAATGAGCTTTCGACTGTACTGCCACTGCCGTATTGTGCCGAGTGCTGTGTTTCCTGTGCCTAGGGCCTGCTCAGTGCAGGGTGGCACATGGTATGTGTATGTGGGGGTCACTGAATGAGGGGTCCGGTCCAAGGGTGGTGACATGGCCACCAACGGGTGCTCACCTCCCCTGCATCCCTGAGTAGGGAGATGTCCCTAGAACGGTCTTCTGTGGTCCCCAGAGATGCCTCCCCAGGTAGAATACAGCAGAGTGAAGGGCAAAGTCCAGGTCCTTGAGTGTGACCCTGACGTGTGCCAGGCAGCGTTTCCCACACTCAGCATTAAGTCAGTCCTCGCCAGCGCCCTCTGGGGAAAGCACTGGATTATTGTGCCTGTGTTGTACGTGAGGAAACTAAGGCACAAGGACTGACTTGGCCAAGATCACATAGCTGGGTCTAAGATTTGAGTCTAGGCATCCTTTTCTAAAGGTCTGCCTCCAAACCATGAGCCCCTTGTTCCCGAAGCCAGCGGGGAGTCCCGGAGTAGGTGCTGGACAGGGTCAGGGCCTGCCAGACCAGGGTGGAGTGGACGCTGATGCTGCCCTGGCCCCCTGCAGCTGTACATCCAGACAACCACGCTGACGGTGTCGGTGAGTCTGAGCGCCTCGGTGTCTCTGGGAATGCTCTACGTGCCCAAAGTCTACATCATCCTCTTCCACCCGGAGCAGAATGTGCCCAAGCGCAAGCGCAGCCTCAAAGCCGTCGTCACTGCCGCCACCATGTCCAACAAGTTCACGCAGAAGGGCAACTTCCGACCCAATGGGGAGGCCAAGTCTGAGCTGTGTGAGAACCTAGAGGCCCCAGGTGAGTGTCCGGCCCTGTCCCTCCCCTAGTCTGTCCAAGCCTCACCCCCTTCTTGGGGAGGCAGAGCCCCTAGCCATGCCCCAGCTCTCACCTGTCCTCTGGGGCCACCGGGAGAGCCCGAGGCCACAGGCGAGCACCAGCTCAGAAGGAAGTCTAGGGAGTCCCTTGGGCAGAAGATTAGAGTTCATCCTGTCTGCCCTTCCTGGTGGCCTTGAGAGAGTCCCTGGTTTCCCAAACCCTGTGCTGGCCACACCCTTCCAGAGATCTCTGCCTCACCTGGAGTGAGACTATGGGGGAGGTCTGGTTCATGCAGGGTGGAAAGAGACCCCAGAATTTCCCTGTCCTGGGGCCCACATCTCAGCCTGGGCCCTCCAGTCCATCTGGTAGAAGTTGTCCTTGGAGGCCCTGCTCATGGGTACTTGGGTAACATGGGAGGGGCTCTGGTCCCAGAGCAGCTGTAACACCCAGCTTGGCTTCGTCCAGCAGCCCCCTAGCAGGGCTTGAGAGATGGGGACCCAGAACGTGGGCGGCCCGGGACAGGTGAGTGAAGGGTGGGGTGGAACTTTGGGATCTACAGAGGCCCAGGTCCCCAGGTAGCAGTGTGTCCTTGGTGGCAGGAGGCTTCAGCAGGAGAGGATTGTGCTTTTGTTTTTGAGGTGGGGAACATTAGCGTTTGCTTCGATGCAGATGTCTCTGCTGCAGTAGGATCCGCTGCACACCTAGAATGACCGGGAAGGGAAGGAGGCTGGGCCTCCAATCTGTGGGGTGGGCTCAAGGTCCACCTGGGCAGGACAGGCCTCCAGGGCTGGGAAAGGGACTGGGCCCCCATCTTTATCTGCTTCCTTCTTCCTCCCAGAGTCAGTGCTGTGTGTGGGGAGCAGAGGCAGAGAGAAGGGAAGGGGTGCAGGTGTAAGAGACGGGTGCCAGTAAGATGGTAGCTGGTTTGTGTACCCTTACTATGGGTGGACCTAATCCTGCCATGTTTCATCCTTGCAGTCACCTAAGGCAGGACTTTTTATCTTGTGTGAAATACAGATAAAGATAGAAGGAAGCCAGTAAGGGACCTTGGCCTGGGGCAGCCCACCTGCAGGCCCCACCCTGGGACTCTGGGTGATGCAAGCTCCTCCTGTGTCCCTCCCACATCAGTGGGACTTTTCACACCCAGAAACATCCCCCCCCACCCCTGCTCTCCTCATGAGTGATCTTCACGGCAGTCCTGAGAAGCCCACATAGGGCTAGGAGTTTTGTCCCAGTCAAGGTCTAGAGAGGGTGAGTGCCTCTCCTGAGATCACACAGCAAGGTAGTGGCCGGCTGGCCCCACCACAGCATCTTACCCTTTGTTCTGACTTCATATGGCACCCCTGTCTCTGGGGCCCCTTCCTCTGTATGGAGCAAGTGGTGTAGCTGACTTCTGTCATGACCCCCCCCTTTGATAGCCTATCCCTCCCTTCTAGTCCTTTCCCTCCTCCCTCACCACCAGCTTATCCCCCACTTACAATCCTGGGACTCCCTTCAGGTGCCACCTGGAGAGGGCAAGAGGCAGAGAGAGGGTCCTTCCAGGACACCCTCTCTGGCATTCGTGTCTACCTTGATGTCCAGGATCAAATATAGCCTTAACCAGACCTTTCTGTCCTGAGCAGAGAACCCCTCCTTCCCCTGCACCTTTTCCTCCCTTTACCTGCACAGGGCCTCCCCCACCCCCTCCTGAGAACAGTGTATATCAGCATCTTGGGGTAAGGGGAGGCAGAACCCCAGTGGGCGACATTAACAGCTGTGACAGGCCAAAGGGACCACAGAGGGCAGGAGCCTTCACAGAGCTCTGATGGCCCACACTGACACTGTCCCCTCTGTTTGGCTCAGGCTGGTCACCCAGCCCAGACAAGGATACCAGCCTAGAAGCCCCTGCAATGAGGGCCTGAGGTGGCAGCTCCCCTCACCCCCACTGTCTCTCAGCTTGGTGACAGGGCCAGGGAGGTGCCAGGTGATTAATTCTGGGGACAGCCAGAGGAGGGAGTGTGAGCGGGAGGAGTGGGAAGGTGTCACTCCTGTGGAGCAGGGACATTTTTCACCCTGTCACTTGCAGGCCACGTATCTTTAAACAAACAACAGAATAAATAATTTAGAGGCCCGATTGCAGGCAGATTGGTTGCGGAGACACAGGGCTACAAGTGGGGACTGTCAGCTTGTGCCTCACGCGGCCTACCTTCCAGCTAATTGTTCTGAGTTGCCTGTAGCTGGAAAGCAGGAGGGGGGCAATGCCAGCAAGGGGGCTGTGGGGGCCTCTGCCATGTACCTCACCCATTCTCCTCATGCAGTGATGCTTCTGAGTGCTACGGTCCCATCCTGTCCTTACTGCTGTGGGATTTCAGCCCTCCCCTTCTTTCAGCCACCCCTTTGGTGGGGTTTATCACCCCATTTATGGATTAGGGAACTGAGGTTCTGGAAGTGTCAATTTTTCGGACTGGCCACATGGCAGGTGCTAAGATTCCTACAGGTGAGGCCAGGACTGGGCTCCTAGGTACCCCTGGCTCCTGGCAATTCTTCCTTTAGCCTCACCATTAGCCACTGGGGTCCCAGGAAGACTGACTGCTCCCATTTTCCAGATGGTGAGACTAAGGCTCCACTGAAGGGCTGGGTATCCCCCCACTGCTCATCCCAGCTTCTGTGAGATTGTGAATTGGATTTTCTAGAGGAGACAGCTCTGGGCAGAGAGGGACAGGACACAAGTGTACCTTGTCCTATTATCCCCTGACTGGCTCCTGGTGCCCAGGAACGCCTCCAGCTCCTCCCCAACCCCCGCAGCCAGGGTGTTTAGCTACTACTGCTGTTCCTTCCACCTCTGAGCCCAGAGCCTCTGAAGGGTTTACAGTTTGGAAACTTAATTTTATCAGTTCACCCAGGGGGTGGTGGAGCCCTGGGGAGTTGATTCTCACCAGCCTGGCTGCGGGCTGGTGATTAGCAGAGCCAGCTGCTGGCTCTTCTCCTGACTGGTGAGGGTTGAATGCGTGGAAGTGTTGGAGGTGGTTGGCAGCCTCTCAGGAAAAGAGGTTGAGGCAAAAAGGGCCTCCCCACCCCACTCATGTTATAGGCAGGGAAGCCACTGAGGCCCAGAAGAGAAGGACAGGAGCTGCCTGAGGTCCAGAGGGAGGGCAAGGCTGTCTGCAACTCATGTGCCTCCCAACTCCCTCTCAGTACAACTACCGTTCCTGGTGTCCCAGCCTCCTTTCCCCAGCACACCTAGCCCTGGCCCAGGCCACCTCCTGGATGATGTCCCATGGTCCTTCTGTCCTCTTGGTCATCTGGCACCCAGGAATATATTCTTTTTCTTTTCTTTTTAATGGTACTGGGGAGTGAGGATTGAACTCAGCATCATGCTTGCTAGGCGAGCACTCTACCACTTGACCTATTGCCCTTTTTAGATAGGGTCTCACGCATTTGCCTGGGCCAGCCTCAAACTGAGATCCCCATATCTCTGCCTCCTAAACAGCTGGGATTACAGGTGTGTACCACCATGCCTGGCCCACGCAGGAATTTTTTTATACACTGAAAGGTGACATGCTATATTCTTATCTTTTCCTGGATGTCATGGCACCATTTCCTTCCATTAGCACCTGTTCAGGTGGCCCCTAAACCGAGAAACTCCCTTCCCACTGCCCAGCCAAGTGGCTGTCCATTCCGTGCTTGTGTGGAGAAGGAGTACACTACCACATAAGGCTTCTGTCTCCACTCTCAGTTGATCAGGAGAAAGTTCTTCCTTTAGTTGAACTGAACTCTGGTCTTTGTGCCTCCCCACTGCTCTCGCTGGGGCCTGTAGCCTCAGTACAAGTTTGCTCCCTCCACACCTGCTGGACCCCCATAGACACAGAAATCCTGCCTGAATTTGTGGGCTTTGGGTGATGCTGCTATGACAAAGAACAGAGCAGAGAAGCTCAAATCAGACTGATTTTGTTTTTGACATGAGAGTAATCAGTGAGTGGATAGGAATGAATTGGGTGGGGGGGGACGTCCAGCTTCCTTCCATCTTGTCACTCCGTTGGCTCCCACAAGGGTGAGGCTGACTGATCCGTGTCTGCTCTACTCATGGGAGGGAAAAGAGAGGAGATAAGTGTAGGGGAAACACTCTGTTTTAATCAATAACATGGAATTGCACACAATCCCTCACTCACATTTCCTCAGCAAGACATTAGTCACAGAAGGCCCCAGTCAGCTGCAAGGGAGGCTGGGAAATGTAGTCCTTAACTTGGCAACCATGTGCCAAGTGAAAACAGAGAGAGGATTGGGGGACATCTTGAAGACTTCCACGCTGCTATTCCCAATTTCCTCTTGCCCAGGGCAGATGCCCAGCTCAGGTGCGCCAACTCTTCTGAGGTGACAGAATCCCAACTGAGGGCCAGGGCAGCTTCATGACAAAGACAGCTTGATTCTCTCCCATCCAGCCTCTCTCCCTCCACCGGCCAACCAGCCCCGTTCCAGGCACCAAGACTACCCCTAGTCACTGTCACCAAACAAGACCCAAAACCTGGCAGGACTGGACAAACCAAGGGTTGGGCCAGACTCCTCCCTTCTCTGGCCCCAGTTCCTCCTCCATCAAGTGGGGGTGGCAGGGGTACTTCTTTGGCCTCCTTGCTAGGTCACTTTGAGGTCTGCTCCGCAGTAGGGTGGGGGACACTCAAGCACTAATGTCATCACCTGGCAGTGAGTTGGCACTGTGCTGGGCCTCAAGGGGGCTGTGACTGGGAAATGGGAGATGCCCAGCTGGGCCAGCCCAGTCCCAGTTATGGAGTGAGGGAGGGCCACAGTGACGGGGCAGAGAAGATCTCCAAACTGAGGGGAGACAGGGCCACCAAGAAATGGAAAGGGAGGCAAATGCCTCAGTTTCTAGCTGAGTATGGCCCCTCTGGTTGTCATTATTTCCTCTGTCCCTGTTCCCCACTTCTTACTCTGGCCACCATTCTAGTGTGTAGAATGTGTGTTCTTCATACTCGTTCTTCTGAAATGTGTGTAGTTGAACTTCTAAAGATTTCCCTCAGATAATATTTTAAGGTTATATAATCATGTCACAGATAAAACGCATTGGTTTAAGATGTAGCAGAACTAGTCAGCAGGGGCTCATGGTGGCCTTGAGGGGGAGCACTCAAACGTGGGGTCACCTCAGTGAGCAACTCAGTGACGGGGAGGGATGCTCCATATGGCAGCCCATCCTGGGCAAAGGTGTGGAGCCAGGAGTCCTGTGTGGGAGTCCCAGCAAGACCCAGGGCTGGGGAGAGTGAGAGAAGGAGCTAGATGGTGGCTAGGTCAGGTGGCGTGTGGGCTAGGTGCCATGGTGGCAGGAGCCATGACTGGATCCTGTTCAAGGCAGTGCTTTCAGGACAGGAGGTTTGAAAGAGGCACCCCTGACTTGTGGCAACTCCGGTCTCTCTCTTTCCAGCTCTGGCCACCAAACAGACCTACGTCACCTACACCAACCATGCAATCTAGCTGAGCCGAGGGAGCCATGCGGGTGGAGGAGCAGCCACGACCCGTGTGGATGATGCATTGGACCAGGGCCACTCTGAGGGCCCAGCTGATGTCCTGCCTGCCCGTGGGCGCCCACGGACGTGGTGTGGTGCTGAGGACAGTAGAGCCCCCGGCCATCACTGGACAGCCTGGGCAAGCCAGGTGGGCGTCAGGAGGAGCCGAGGGGCCAGGGCAGCTCTGTGCCACTGCAAGGCCCACATCTTGGGCATTGCCCTCCTGACCTCCAAAGCACAGGGAATCGGGATGAGTGGGCCCCAGTGCTGGTTTCCTCTCGCTCTGTCCTCTTAGTGACCTTCTCAGTCTGTCTCTACCTGTCTTTCTGTTCTCTTAGCTGTTTGCGTCACTGTCTTTTTCTCTGCACGTCCTGTCTGTTTGGGCTCTTGGCTTCTTGTGTCCCTCCTCTTTTTGCTCTAGCCTCTGCCTCCACTCTGCCATCCACTCGGACTGCTCCTCCGGCTTTCCTCTGGGTCATCGTTCCCCCTCCCCACTATGGCCATGTCATGTATTTTTCTTTCCTGTCCCTCTCACTGTCATTTTCCACTACCCTTGTTCCCCTGCCCATGCCACCCTTTCCAGTCCACCAATTCTTCCATGTCACAAAAGAAAAAAAAAAGAAGAAAAAAAATCAAAACACAAAAATGCCAAAACAAAAACAAATTGAGTGTGTTGCAAAGTGCCGCATCCTTCTGGTGGCCTCTGTGTGTCCCCGTGGCCCGCAGCCTGCCCACCTGCCCCGCCCCTGCCGTGTGTCCTGCCCGCCTGCCCGCTGCCCCTCCTGCCAATGACACGGAGTTCAGTGCCTGGGTGTTTGGTGGTTATTGATGACAATGTGTAACGCATGATCGTTTTTATACAAGAACATTTCTAATAAAGATAAACACCTGGTTTTGCACCCTGCCTCCGTGTTCACTGAGGGGTTTACCGTGGAACCACCAGCTCAGCTGCAGCTGGTGGCCTGAAGGTGGTGGGAGGGAGGACCTGGGATGGAGCTGCATGGCTGGGGCACAGAAGGAGGCTGTTTCCTGGTGGGCTCTGTGGTGGTGCTGTGGGGGCTTGGGCAGGGAGGGGCCGGTGTCCAGGTAAAGGGCCAGGACCTGGCAGAATATTCTAGAAAACAATACCTGGTGGTCCCCTAGCTGAAGGGGGTGTTCTGCCCTGTCCTGCAGCTCCTGGAGGTCACATTCTGCCCTGTTTCTCCTCTGCCTCGTGTCCCTCATACCTGGGACCCACCCACTGCTACAACCAGACCTCTCCTCTCACTGCAGCCAGCAGGGTCCCCTCTGGAGAAGTTGGTTCTGGGGCTGCCAGCACCCACAGCCTCCGCTCCTGCTGTCTTGTCCTGGTACTAAGATGATGTGTGTGTGTTGTGAAGAGCCGTGTGTGATGTGTCTGCGTGGCCCTGAGTGCACAGTGCCTTGTGGGTGTGCGCTCACCCCAGACTCAGAGGCTGTCTGTTCTACTGTCCGCAGGGCACAACCGGTCCCTCCGTGCTTCTGTGTTTGCCTTGTTTGAGTGTCCGCCTGTCTGTTTATGCCGTAGAGAGTGTGAGTCCACATCACACCTATGTCATGGGGACACCCATCCTAGGCCAGCAGCAAATGTGCAAGGTGTGTCCTCAGCAGCTGGTTCCCTTGGCAGGTGCTGGAGTAGGAAGCAGGGAGTGGCTTAGGGGCTGGGCCCTGCCAGGAGAAAATTATAGAGTCAGCGACACAATGAGGCCACAGCCAGCAGCTGGAGCCCAGGCTGCTTGTGCCTCACCCTCCTGCTCCCTGTCCCACCCCCACCTCTAGCTGATGGCGTGGGACACTGTGACCAAAGGATAGGAGGGATCCTGGGTGGGGAGGAAGGCAGGGACCCAGTGCTTGGGGCACTGCATGGTGCCAGGTGTTTTGGTCTCTCCATGAACCTGACCTTCCTTCTGGGGGGCGTCTCACATAGTGCCCCCCCAGGTCTGTGTGGCACTTAGCATAGACTCGGTATGAGGGAAGGAGGGAGCATGGTCAGTCTTGCTGACCATCTGGCTCTTGTAGGGTGGCCACAAGGCCTCTACCCTGAATAGATGCTCGCAGGGCACCTGTCCAGTCAGTTAGGTTGCTGGACCAAGGGTGTCTTCTGGAAGTCTTCAGGTTCAAATTCACATGTGAGGGGAGGGATTGAGAGCAGAGGGGTATGATTATCTCCCCGGGTGGGGGACTCCCTGCAGCAGAGGCACCTGGTCCCTCTCTGGACCCCTCTGCTCTTGGGGTGACTGACGCTCTGAGACTCAAAGCTGGACAGGTGGTGGGCCTGGTTTAGGATCATGGGTGCTCAGTCCAGGACTTGCCCAGGGCCCACTAGTATGGTGCCCCCTGTCCAGGTTCCAGGGGAAGAATCACCTCCTCAAAGTGGGTGCTGCCCCTTTGCTCCCCTCAGCACTCAGGAGAGGGAGGATGGAGGCTGAGAAGGACATCTAGGATAGCTTTCAAGGCCTCCTGCAGTGAGGAGGGTGAGGGGGCCTGTCCAGGCCAGGGTAGCTGGGGTGGGGCTCAGACCATCAGGCCTTGCTGGGGCTCAGCCTAGTCTAGCCTGGGGCTCATGTAGGGGACAGCCAGGCCCTGCCCTCGGGGGCTCCCTGTCTGATGAGGGCAATGGCCTTCAGGAAGCAAAGCTGAGTTTAGAAATGTTGGTGGTCCCAAAGTAAAATAATTACTTGAACGAAGTAGGGAAGTGTTGGGTGCAGAGTGATTTCTGAGTACCTGAACCTGGGGTACAGAGAAGTATGGTGGCTTTGGGAGCCCAGGATGGGCAGGAGGGATCCTGCGAATCAGACTTGCTCTGAGGGTGAGCATGCAGTGTCCCTGGCTTGGAAGGTCTACTTGTGGGGTGGAGCCTATGGGCCCTTCCTGGATCAGCTGATTGCTAGCATCCTAAATTATTAACAGCTGGGCTCATATGGGGCATCCAGGAGAGATGGACAATTGCTTGGTATCTTCAGGATTTTTTAAGGTGGCAGTTGAGGAATGGACAAGCTGCTGGCAGCCCCCGCCCCCGGGGCCCCACCAAGGCCTTTGGTCTGTCGGAGGGGCTGGGGGTCCCACAGGCTCAGTGCTAACTCTCCTCTCTGGCCTCTGCCTCTTCCAGTCCAGGCTGAAAGAGTTGGGATAGGAGAGATTCTACCCACAGTGTAATTTCCAACCACCTGGAGAGTGTTTGGCCTCTGTTTGGGATCTGAGCCTCTGTGGGTGAGGCTAAGCAGGCTCTCATAGCTCCTCAGAGAATGGCTGTGCAGCTCCTTGGGCTAGTGTGGGCCAGACTTTGGAGTTTGTGAAACCAGGAGGGAGGGGCAATGCCTAACGCACAAGCTTGTCTAGGGCTTTTACCCAGCACTGGGCAGAACTTAAGAACTACCAGGCTGGCTGGACACACAAGACACCTTTGTGGAACTGCTGGGACCCTGAAGAGACCAGCTGCAGAAGCAGTGGGTGAGCTGGAGTCCTAGGTCCTTGCCAGTCCAGATGCAGGTTCTGGGTTCCAATGTTCTTTGTCAGTCCCTCCTGTCCTGCCTTCTCAGGCCATGGAGGTGGAAGCAAAGTGTGACAGAGGGGCCCAGTCAGCTCAAGGCCAGCTGGCCTGTACTGCCCCACCCTCCAGGCCCACCAAGGAGCCTCAAAAGCCCCCGGAAGATGCTCTACCTGCAGGAGGCTGTGTGGTCTCTCTCCCCTATTTAACCTTTCTGATGCTCTTGCTGGGGTCCTAGGGCTCTCTCCTCCCTGTGCCAGTTTCCACCTGCCCCGGCACCAAAGGGAGACTGAGGCACAGTCTCTGGCATTGAGAGCTGCTCTCCACCCTCCTGCCTGCCCCTAACAACCCTGGCTACGCACGGGGCTTGGCCCTGGCACTATGAGCCTCACAGAGCCCGGGCCTCTCCACAGACAGCCCAGCACCGAATGACACTGGCGCCAAAATCTCACTTCAGTTGGCAAAAGCAGCAATTAGCATCTAATGAGGCTTCTTGCTTTATTTTTAGGTAACCTCCAAGGCCCTGCCTGTGTAATTCAGCCTGCCATTGCTCGGCAGATAATTAAAGCATGTCACCATAATTTGCCTTTTTTTTTTTTTTTAAATAAAGCCCCGTAATTATGTTTTTATTGCAAGTGAGGGGGAAAAAAGAGGGGGAGAAGAAAACAAAGAGAGGCGGGGATGGGGCAGGAAATGGGGCTTGGCTCCCTCAGTCAGGCACCTCCTCCATCACCCCCCATTCTAGGCTCAGCTGCCCTCTGGAACTTGCTTAACTTCCAGGAACTTCCTGCCAGAGCCCCCTCCCTGTGGCTTCCCTTACAACCACTTCTTCAACTTTTTCTTCCTAAAACTACCCCGTCCCCCCAGCTTCAGAGTGATCTAGTGGGCAGGAAGGGGACATGCGGAACCACAGTGGCTGTAACTTGACGGTTCTTGAGTTGAGAATGGACGTCTGGGAGTTCTTTACACTAGTCTCCTTCTGCATATATTGGAAATTTTCCAAAATAGAAAGTTAAATAAAACTCTACTCTCAGGAAGGGCTCTGCTGACTGCAGGATTTGGAATCTGCTCTCAGAGCCTTGTTCTTTCTCTAACTATGTGGTGAAGGGCTGACTTTTTGCATTTCTGTCATTGGGGGGTTGTGGTGGGAGACCCTCCCCAGGGGCAGCTGAAATTAGACGTGAGCCTGTAGGCCAGCAGGGAGCAAGCAGGTGGGGCAGCTGCCCACATGGTTTGAAGGAGCCCGCTGCCCTCAAGCATCTTCCCAACTGCCAACTTGGAGACCTCAAATTCTGCACAAAGCCTCAGGCTTCTGGGTTGAGGCTTGTTCCCCAAAACACATCGACCACCTGACAACCATGTTGGAGTCAGGCACCAAGACGCGAAAGGTGAGGTGCATGGGACAGTAAGTTTGAAAAGCGCTTCTCAGATCACCCTCACTTCAGTAGGGGTCTGCGGTTTTCTGAGCACCACTAAGGCTATGGACCTCAGTTTATACTTATCCTGCTCATCGGCTTTCCCCCTCCCAGATGTCACCCCCTCCCCCCACCCCCACCCCCACCCTGCTCCTGGGGCGGGCTTTTGTCTGCTTGATTACAGCAGAATTGCAGGGCTAGAATAGTGTCTGGTGCAGGGCATACATTTTGAATGGACCGATGCGGGTAGCAGCTGGACTGGACACCTGGAGGGACCTGGTGAGCTGTACTCACGCCCCCATTATCCAGCTCAATCTCTGAGGCTCTGCCCAAAGGCCAGTGGATCATTTCTTCACTTGAGAGTCCCAGAGGCATCCCCACAGCCCTAGGGCGAGCACAGATAAAACACACCGGTACTGGAAGAA